TACATTTTTTCCACTGAAAATATTTCGTTTTGCACTTATTGTGTACTTGCGCAATGTTTTTGAATTAAAAGCATAAATAAGTCAGTACACAAATATTACAAGTTGATAAAAAAAAACATTTAATTTTTTAGACTTCAAAAAAATAGGAAGATTATCATTCGTCGGAATATTTTTTTTTAGTATGTTACGGCATTAATTTTAGACCATGTGAACCGATTTCGATGCCAATTAAGTAGTTTGCTCTCTTATTTGTAATTCGCACTCCAATTACCCTTCGAATTACATATTACGTAAGACGAATTGCTTGGCCACACTGGCCATGAAATCTGAAAGTCCGGTACATACACATATAAATTCAAGGCCGTATTTTTGCTAAAATTGCTTAACTTTTTGACAATTTTTATGCATTTTCATTTAACCGATGAAAACTTCCAACAATCTAAGTCTAACTATATATTATTATAGATCATTTTAAACGTCTATAAAACCTCTTTTCAAAACATGATCGGTTTTTAGAATCCGATGAAAAATAATCAAGCTGTTAATAGACAAGTGCAGCAAGTGTGAAAAAACCGTAATTTTGATTTTTTTCGAAAAAAACGATCAGGTAGGTATGTATCTAAAAACTGATGAACAAATTTTTTGGATCCATTTTGATCGAACATATGCATGCTTCAAGATCACTATCCACTATCACTAGCCTATTTAACAAAAAATAATAATTTTGGAGGATCTATAAAAAATAAATGCGGTATTTTACCAAAAAGTTCATTGTACCTACGTGATACTTCATATTATAGTAAAAGAAAACTAAAACGGCGTGGCTCGGGCTCTTACCGTTTTTATTTTAGTAATTGCTTTTGAGGTGCACCTGAACTTTTTTCCTTCAAGGCCTAAAATCATCATTAATTTAGTGATATTTTCAATTGAATTTTTTTATATTTAAATTTTTTTTTAGAATTAGATTTTTTGAACCCGAATCTCACAAGCTTCCGAAAATTAGACAAAAATTATGCCCAATGTCACAAAGAGCGTGAAAGTGCTTTAACAGCAAAAAAACATATAAAATGTCCAATTTGTATGCTGAACATGTAAAAAATTTATTTTATGACAGTCTGGCATCACCCACATAACGTGCAAATCGCTGCGAGTTCAAAGAGAACCCACTCATCGGCCTATTTTGTTTGCAAAGCTCTTTACAAGTGAGAACACCAGAAATTTACTTTAAAACAAAAATACTTTAACATTTATGTGTATAAATGCAGATGCATACGTACATACATACATTTGCATGCAAATTGTTGTTTGTATTTATGTTGCACTATCAAAAGTGTAAATTTTTCGCTATTAAATCACTTTTAATTTTGTACTCTATGGCGCCAGCAACTAATTCAATTTACAAGTTGTTATCAGTATTTTCTAATACACTTCGATTTGTCGTTTTTTTATTTTTGTCCTCGCTCAGTAGTTGGCTGCAACTCGTTCTCTTTCAGCTCATTGTAATGTAGCTGACAATTCCGCTTCCATTTTCCGACTATGCAGCCGCTGCACTTTGCAGTCGTATATGTAGGTATATGCCATCGTATATTGAGGTATTTATGGTTCAAAACACATGCGGAAAACATATGATTAATGACGTAAGTAGAAGTAGACCGAAGCTTTTAGCTTGCCATCAGTGTTGCCAGGTCACTGAAGTGAGAAATCGTCAGTTTGGTTCTCAAAAATCGTCATTTTCATGTAAAAATCGTCAACATATAAAAAATTAAAATAAACAAAACCAGGTAGCTCTTTTGGTTTTTTTCTGATTGATATACAGTAAAAAATAAAAAGTTAAGCGTTTAACGAATTTTTAAAATTCACATCAGTTTTAATGAAAATATTTTTAATTGCAATAAAATCGGATTTTTTAAAACTTCATTTTTAGATCATTAAATTTTATTTTAATTAAAATTTAAAATGACTTACTTTAGTTTGGAAAATTATACAATTTAAATTTTAAAAGTCTGATATATGCAAAATTTATTAGTGAAACTTTGGATAAGTCGCATAACATTTGTTTTTGTCACAAAGTTTTTCTCTAGTTCATATTATGTTTTACAGCTATCTAGAAAAATCACAAGAATTTGTTTCATTATTTTTGTTGCTTGTAAAAGAATTTTTCCGTTAGTGTAAAGTTTCTTGACGAACTAAATATACGAGCGTTTTTTCTTGAGATCTGCAGACTGATTTAAAAAATTTTTATAGAAGAAAATTTCCTTTTCATTTCTTGAGTGTGATTTAATATGAATTTTTAGATTTTCTTGAGAACTATATACTAAGCTTTAATCAGGTACAATTTTTCATGCTACATTTAATTTTTAAAACTACTAAATATATCGGTGTTTGGTTAAAACTCAAAACAAGAACAACCATTTCCTTTTAATAAGTCCCGTGCGAACAAACTTCCCTCAAGAGTTGAGTTTTCTTGCAAAGCAGATGCTGCTTCTGGTTCGACAGCTAAGGTAAAGAGAACATCAAATATTTGCAAACTGCAACTGTACCATGTGCATTAAAAACTGTTCATACCTATCAGAGTTGCTAAATAACTTATACATAATTTCATTCGCTCAATAAAATATGTATCAGTACACAACGCAAAAACTATGAATTTGACCCCAAAAACTGCACAAATAGTGATGAAACAAAGAAGAAAACTACTCATCGACAACTACTGTAAGTGCTTCCACATGATTCCACACGATTATCGTCATGGCCGTAAAAAATCTTCAAAATGACGACCAAATCATCAACCTGGCAACACTGCTCGCCATATGGCTTTTCCAAATGATACTTTTTTTTTTGATTCGGAATTGATTTTACTTCATCAAATACAAATCCTAACTTCAGTCGCTTTACAAAGTAATATTGGCAATTCTGGTTAAATGGGATTTATAGCTGAAAAAATGGTCAAATGCATATTTGAACATCTTTCGAAGCAATTTGAGTAAAAATTTCGAGCAAATGTGTAGAAGGCTTGCCAACTTTTAAAACGCCTAAGGGAGGACAAAATAATTTTTATTGACGACATTGTATGCAGAGGTCTTTGGTTCAGGAGGACACAAAACATTCCTTTCATTTCTCGATAAAATTAGGGGGAAAGGCCTTTCATTTAATTTAAAATATCAACAATCTATAAATGGTATAGAACCATTTCAATGAAGGAAAAGCACAAACATAGGTATATAAATGTTATATCTAGGCCATGAGAGCAGAAGTGGCCCAACGCGCAATTTTCCTTGTACTTAACTTCTAAAAATAACTTTCGTTTGATGACTATCTTGTAATATGTACATACTCATGGCGTTTTCTTTTCTACCGAAAATATGTTGCCTTCTCAGTGCCCTTTACGCGCAAATACGAAGGAGAGGGTATTGAAAAATAAAAGGTCATAAATTCAAGTTATCAATTTAATCGAATTGAATTTTCGAAATAGGTGGCAACCCGCCTCAAAAATTTCTTCAGCAATAAGCTTTCTGAAATCTCTTTAGTTTGATAGCCATTTTGCAATACTTAATATTTCTTATCAGTATAGTTAAATAAAATTTTTCAACAGGGGGCAACCCAGCTCAAGAATATTTTCGATAATAAGCTCTCTTAAATCTCTTTATCCATATTGTAATACTCAATTTATCTTACCAATTCAATTGATTTAAATTTTTTAAATAGGTGGCAATCCTCCTTAAAAATATTTACGACTGTAAGCCTTTTTAAACCCCTTTCTTATAGCACCCATTTTGTTATACCTACTTTACCTCATAAATTACTTTTTTAATAATTTACTTTTTTAAACAGGTGGCGACTCTCTAAATTTTTTTAGTCATCCGGAAATTATAACGACCGAACCAGAAAAAGGATTATTCAGATCGGTCAAGCCGTTTTTTAGTTTTAGCGAGACTAACGGAGAGCAATTCATTTCTATGTGTATGTATGTATATAAGAAAATTATCAGCAAAATATTGACAGTTTGAATATGTATAAAAATAATTTTCATTTATTTTTGTTCATTTCGTCTTCGCGTATGTAAATATTTATAATAAAAGTATAACATTTAATAAATGCTTAGTATCTAAAAAGAAGAACTTATAATACATTCCAAGTTTAATACTATTGACACCAAAAATACGTAAGTTGTATTATTAAATATTTGCATAAAAGACCAAAGTATACATACACTCCTAGTCATTTGAATTGCGCACCCTTTTTATCCTCAATAAGTACAGTTTTTTTTTTGTTTGTTTAATATTTATAATTTTTTTTATAAAAATTTAGCAAATTCTTCACCAAAAAACGTGTAAATCTGATCTTAAAATTTTATCCTAATGACCTGCAGTGAATAAGTTGACAATATTTTTGGAAAAATTTGGAATGTGCAGTCTTATAGCCCATTCAATTTTAGTATTTTAGTACAAGTTTGAAGAGGCTGTAAAATAGCATTGATTTTTGAAATTTTTTTTATTGTAGTTTGTGCTGCGAATTTTTTTTCCATATAATTTTGTCGAGCATACTTTGTATGGAAGAAAATGCACGGCACTGTCAACAAAGAAAATTGTCGAAAATCAACGGTATTTTGTAGCCTCTTGAAACTTGCAGTTTATTTTACATAAATAGCATGGGCTACAAAACTACATACCGGAAATTTTACTAAAAATATTATTACCTCATTCACTGTNTTCGTCTTCGCGTATGTAAATATTTATAATAAAAGTATAACATTTAATAAGTGATTAGTATCTAAAAAGAAGAGCTTATAATACGTTCCAAGTTTAATACTATTGACACCAAAAATACATAAGTTGTATTATTAAATATTTGCATAAAAGATCAAAGTATACATACACTCCTAGTCATTTGAATAGCGCACCCTTTTTATCCTCTATAAGTACAGTTTTCCTTTTGTTTGTTTAATATTTATAATTTTTTTTATAAAAACGTGTAAATCCGATCCTAAAATTTTATCCTAATGACCTGCAGTGAATAAGTTGACAATATTTTTGGAAAAATTTGGAATGTGCAGTCTTATAGCCCATTCAATTATAGTACAAGTTTGAAGAGGCTGTAAAATAGCATTGATTTTTGAAATTTTCTTTTATTGTAGTTTGAGCTGCGAATTTTCTTCCATATAAAAATTTTGTCGTGCATATTTTGTATGGAAGAAAATGCATGACATTGTCAACAAAGAAAACTGTCGAAAATAAACGGTATTTTGTAGCCTCTCGAAACTTGCAGTTTATTTTACAAAAACAGCAAGGGCTACAAAACTGCATACCGGAAATTTGAGTAAAAATATTATTACTTCATTGACTGTTGGTCATTAGGACAGATCAAAAAACAAACCTCAACAAAGTTTGTTTTTCTTTTTAATTTCTGTAAAACTTGAAAATCGGATTTACATGCTATGGTTTTATAAAAAATTAATGAATATTAAATAAATAAAAGGAGAACTGTGAGTAATAAGGGCTAAAAGGATGCACTATTCAAATGACGAGGAGCGTAAGTACTTAAGAAAAAACTAGCTGTCGACATTAAACAAGTTTACACGATAGAAATTTCTGAAATGGTGGTACATATTCAAAAGATACATAAGTACAGACATATGCATATGCATAGCGAAAAGTGCCGAGTATGTACGATTTTCGCATATTCCAGAACAGCTTTACTTTGACTAAAAACTTTACTTAATAATAATATTATAATGAAGTCCAAAGTGCTTAAGTATTATACGGTTAACCATTAAAAATATAAAAGTCTTAATTTATAAAAGCCAGTTTCACGAAAGCCGTTTACATAAGTGGAAAATGATATTATTATTTGTGTTTAGGATGGAAACTGACAGAAAAAATTATTTTTCATTCAAATTGCTTTCGTGAAAACGGAAGTAAGAGTAGTGGAAAAATATTTAAGTACCTAAAAATGCTATCAAAATTTCGAATAATAAAATTTAATAAAAGTATCTAACCGATGTATAAAATTGTGCGTAAACAGGCATACATACATGCAAGTACATACAAAAAAAAAACCGTGTACTACCCTGAAAAATGTTGCGACTACTCTCTAAAGACAGCAGAAATGGGTTAATCGCCATGGCGTACTAATGGGCATTGATTAGTCCCGATCTAATACATTACATACACCATTGACAATGCAAGGATATGACTGTGCTTAAGCAATGCATTTTCAAACCAAACGATCATCCATTATGCATTTTATTATTAAAAAAGATAATTAGTCTCTATAAAATTTCTCGATAAAAAGTGATATAGACGCGTGTTTCTTCAAAACTAAACCCATACACTTGCTGGACTAGTCACAATTTTTTACAGGGTAGTACATACATAGATAGACAAATCATACAACAAGTACAAACTCAACTCCAATTTTAAGGCACTACAATTTACTGGGCGATGAATCAATAATCCTTAGCACAACCTTGTCTAACACTATACGAATTCTAGTTTTGCTCCTCAGCCGTCCACCGTCTTTTTGGCCTTCTTTCCCAATATGCGGCGCACCATGGACTCAATGCTCCATAGCAAAAGTGCCAAAGTAGTCAGTAAATTGAGGAAGTGAATGGTAATCGTGTAACTAGTGGCGTCAGTTATCGTGCCTGTAAAAAAAAGGGTATTAAAACNTTTTTTTTTTTTTAATTTGTGTACAATTTGAAAATCGGATTTACATGCTATGGTTTTATAAAAAATTAATGAATATTAAATAAATAAAAGGAGAACTGCGAGTAATAAGGGTTAAAAGGATGCACTATTCAAATGACGAGGATCGTAAGTACTTAAGAAAAAACTAGCTGTCGACATTAAGCAAGTTTACACGATAGAAATTTCTGAAATGGTGGTATTCAAAAGATACATAGGTACAGACGTATGCATATGCATAGCGAAAAATGCCGAGTATGTAAGATTCTTGCATATTCCAGAACAGCTTTACTTTGACTAAAACTTTACTTAATAATAATATTATAATGAAGTCCAAAGTGCTTAAGTATTAGAAGGTAAACCATTAAAAATATAAAAGTCTTAATTTCTAAAAGCCAATTTCACGAAAGCAATTTACATAAGTGGAAAATGATATTTTTATTTGAGTTTAAGATGGAAACTGACAGAAAAAAAATCAATTTTCATTTAAATTACTTTAGTGAAAACGGAAGTAAGAGTAGTGGAAAAATATTTAAGTACCTAAAAATGCTATAAAAATTTTGAATTTAATAAAAGTATCTAACCGATGTATAAAATTGTGCATAAACAGCCATACATACATGCAAGTACATACAAAAAAAAAAACCGTGTACTACCCTGAAAAATGTTGCGACTACTCTCTAAAGTCTAATGGGCATTGATTAGTCCCGATTTAATACATTACATACACCATTGACAATCAATGATATGATTGTGCTTGAGCAATGCATTTTCAAACCAAACGATCATCCAATAAGCTTTTTATTATTAAAAAAGATAATTAGTCTCTATAAAATTTCTCGATAAAAAGTGATATAGACGCGTGTTTCTTCAAAACCAAACTCATACACTTGCTGAACTAGTCAAAATTTTTTACAGGGTAGTACATACATAGATAGACAAATCATACAACAATTACACACTCAACTCCAATTTTAAGGCACTACAATTTACTGGGCGATGAATCAATAATCCTTAGCACAACCTGGTCTAACACTATACGAATTCTAGTTTTGCTCCTCAGCCGTCCACCGTCTTTTTGGCCTTCTTTCCCAATATGCGGCGCACCATGGACTCAATGATCCATAGCAAAAGTGCCAAAGTAGTTAGTAAATTGAGGAAGTGAATGGTAATCGTGTAACTAGTGGCGTCAGTTATCGTGCCTGTAAAAAAGGGTATTAAAATCACGAAATCATAAATTCAAATTCTCCACACTCACCTAGAATAGGTCCCAACGCCAGTGAGAATAATGAGTTAAAAACTAGCTGTAAACCAGAAGCAGCTGGCAAGCGTTTTAATGGCACATACGATGGTATAATTAGCGGCGAAAATATGGTACGGAAGCCTTTACCGAAACCGATCAGCACGAAAAGTATCAACACCATGTAATATNGTCCCAACGCCAGTGAGAATAATGAGTTAAAAACTAGCTGTAAACCAGAAGCAGCTGGCAAGCGTTTTAATGGCACATACGATGGTATAATTAGCGGCGAAAATATGGTACGAAAGCCTTTACCGAAACCGATCAGCACGAAAAGTATCAACACCATGTAATAAGAGTTTGTCATCGTGACAAACATGCGCCCAATGGCAATGGCAATAATCCCAAAAGCGAACAGTACCCGATTATCAAGCTTAACCTTTTCCAATGCGAATGGCGCCAAAAAGCGCACACAAATGTCCATGCCGCCCAGCACTGACATGGCTGTTGAGATTTGTTCGTTAGTATAGCCATATTCGTTGAGAATGAAGGGCGTCAAAACGGAGAAATTCATTTCTGCAAACATCATAATCGTCATGCCCATAACTAAGTTGACGAAGGTAAAATCTCTCAGCAGATCTAAATCGAAGAATTTGACTACTTTTTGTTTGAAACTCATTTTGCTTTTGGCCAACTCTTCTGCCGCTTCGTCGATTTTCAATTTTTCCTGTTCGCGTTTCAGCTCCTCGTCGGAGATCTTTTGCAGCAACGCTTTCTCCTCTGCGCAAGTGCAATGCAATTCCTCAACACCGGACTTTGAATAGATGCTACCCTTGCTGGTGTAACGATCGTAATCTTCACGTTCACGATTGAAGTAGTTCGGCTTATATAAGCGTGATTCGGGCGCATTGTGTTCATCCTCCTCATGTTCCATTTCAGAAATGTGTGCCTTCATTGAGGCCTGTCGCATCACCTTGTGACGCAAGCGTATTGGGTTCATTTCTGCAGCAAGTGACACCTTCGAACCGAACCAACCGTCGTTGGCGCGAGCCATCATCGGTGTGCCGGGTTCGGTTATTTCATAGCCCGGAGTTTCCAAGTCGTCTTCGTTAAAGAGATATTGCGAAGAGAATATACTGCGCTTGTGATGCTTCTTGTATTGACAGTATTTGCACTCATATTCCTCATTCTCATTTGTAGGAGCAAGTGGGACCAACTGGTTATCGGCATTCGCCGTTTGTTGCGCTGCTGCTGATTCCTTGGGTTTTGTTGTATGCCATAGCACGGGCTGCAGAGTCATCGCACACAAGAGCGCATTTAACGCAATGGCGGCATAAATTAGTATCGTACCCTGTGCGCCGTAGTAGATGAGCAAGATCGTAGTAATGTGGGGGAAAATAATCGGTCCCAAACCGGTTATGGTCCAAGAAAAGCCAGTTGCACGTCGTCGGCGAGTTTTAAAGTATGTATTCACTGCCAACGACACAGCAGCCATGCTGAGGCCCATGCCGGTACCTGAACGAAAAAAGTGGTAGGTTTATGAATAGGAAGAGAATCAGAATGAAAATGAGATATAGTAAGACTGGAAATATTTACCGTAAATAACTGAAAAACTTAGCACATACTGCCAAAATGTGGTACACCAAGCTGTCAGTAAAATGCCAGTGAAGATAAAAATATTGCCAGCAATGGCCACTTGGCGAAATGAGAAGCGACGAAACATGGCACCATTCATAATACCTAAATACATAAGAAAATAATAATAGCTTCTGAAATGTATTTAGGAATTTTAATGCTTACCAACTAATGATGATAGACTCATTATAATATTTACAATAGTGGTAGTCTCCTTTGCTGTGAACCCTAGATCCACCATACGTTGCCGATAGATCAGGCCGTATTGCTGCAGTGGAGGGAAAATGGAGAGCTGCGTGGGGTATGCAATAAAAATAAGTAAAATTTCTTTGAGAGAAGCCTACAAATAAATATGTATGTACATATTTAACTATAATTTTTACTTACATTACTGAGTCCAGCTGCTACGCAAACCACCCAACCCCAGCCGCCATCGGGTGCCACAAAGTTCGGACCGAGGTCACTTTTATCACGACGTTTGGGTTTATTTGGCTTTGTGGTCGCATTATAAACTGTTATATTATTCTTCTCAGCGAGTGTCGCTTTTTCGATCGCCATCTTAGTATGTGTGTGTGTACGCCTTTTTACGTTTTTAAAACGTTAAGTTTATTTAATATTGGAGAGTAAAAAAAATGTATTATCTGTGCGTTGACGATCGGATTTCTGTAAAACATACAATTATTTTTAATTAGTTGCCTATTATATTATAACAATTAATTATTGTATGTATTCATAGCCACGAAAACGAGTTGCGCACGCGAAGTATGTGGTAACAGGGGAATGTAGTATGTATATTCTCGCATTTTTTACCCGTAAGTTTTAGTAACTAGTTTTAATTTTGTATTTCTGATTTTTATTGTGTTTACCAAGCGACGAACTACATATGTATCTCGTTTTGCTAGATATCATTAAACGTTTCCTGTTACTATGCTACTTTGATTTTAGAGTGCTTGAGTTAAAAGCTAATGAATATTTATTAAATAAAATTTCAAAAATTTATTTTAAGCACAAGTTTATAAATAAGTAATGTTTCAAAATGGGTTTGATAAGAATTGTTGGTACCGAAAGGAGACAAATCTCTCTAACCGGAGTTAAACAAATAAAAATCACACTTATAAATCTAAGCTAAAATTTTTTTTATTCTAAACTGTTAGTGTATTCTATGAAATGAAAGAGATGCAATAGTTTCGCTTTCAATAACAAAAAAAAAAAAAAACATAAAAAAAATAAAAAAATAGAACACTAAAGTCGAGTCACCCATTATAATGATTTCGGTACAGAAGTCCTGACGCATCACTTAATGAAATTCTGACTTCGAATAATTAAAAGTTTGTGGCTTTAATTATTTTAAGTCATCTTGTATCGCGGTTGCTGCTTTTTTTTTTTAAAGTTCCAAGCTTCGGACGTGGAAGTTTGTATCCAATTCTTCCTAAAGTATTAGTAATATTCAAGAGTGATACAAATCTTTGACATAATATGTTAATGTTTTTTGTTCTTTTTTCAGACAATTGGTAGATACTACAAGTTCCGCAAACTATATAAGTCATGGAGCGATACTCAGTTGAATAACGCGTAAAAGTGATACCAACGCTTTATGAAAATGGTACACTCTAAAAAATCTGTTTAAAAATGCGACTTTAAATCGAGTATATTTTTGTTTATTTTTTTAATTTTTTTGGTAAATTTACACGATGAATATATATTTTTCTCGTTTGCACATTTTCGTGTGCAAAAATCCTTTTTATTAGCGGCATGTGTGTATTTTGTAGCTTGTACACACTTTTGTAGTAAATTTACGTACACCACAGCAGCTATATTACGCTCTAAAAAGTCCGAAATTTAAACAAACTATTCGTTGAATAATCGAGCATGTAATTTTGCAAATAATAAGGTAGGAAATCAGTAACCTACCTTTTAGCTAGGAAATCTACACAATTTTTTTAGAGTGTAGTCCTGCAATAAATAAGTAAGTAAGGAAGCATTTGTACCACGAAACAGCTGGGACAAATGGCCGCCGAGATCTTGCGATTTGACACCATTGCACTTCTTTCTCTGGGGCCATGTGGAAGGTACGGTCTACTCACGCCAATAAACCCGAGACAATTCCAGAGCTGAGGAAACGAAATCATGCACGCTTTAAATGATAAACAGCCCGAACTATGGCAAAAAGTCATGACACATTATGATAGCCGCATCACGTATTGTCAGAGGATTCGTGTTGGGCATTTAACGGATTTTGTGTTTCAACCATATGTACATAAATGCCATAGAATAATCATTTCGACAAATTTAAAATTTGGTAGGTTTTCATATAAACACCTAGTCGTTTTTACGAGGAGGACACCAGCAGCGGCGTCTTGTCGAGGGTAGTTTTCTGGCTCGACATGTGATATAATTAAACCAATTTTATTGTATGATGTACTTGATGCTTTTCCTTAACTCTGCAATATTACACACAACTTTTTTTAATATCTGAACTAAAATTGGTAAATTTTGTAACAGAATCCTCTACGTTTATGTCGCTCTCGCATACCGTCTTCAGCTACGACGCTTATAGAAGATGGTTAGTATTCTAGGGTTAAATGGAATCAGTGATGCAGTTCGGACCACCCCTAATCACGCTCGATACGCTAAAAATTGTGACCGCTGATATAGCAGGCGAAACTGAGCTGCGCGCGATACTCTCACAGATATATGAATACAAGCCGAAGTCTGAGCATTTCGACCTAACTACAAGTGCTTAAGATTGTAGCAACTATTACAGAAATGTTGTCTTGTAGATTAAAGTAGAATAAAATATAATTATATACGAGAAGTGAAAAGGAATGGCAATAGAGAGGAAGCAAGCAACTAACCAACCAATAGCTTTTAAGGAGGTTAACATATGTATACTTATATATTCTGATAGCCAGACGGCAACCAAATGCTTTCTTTTTACTTTTGAGAACCGATAAGTGAATGTCTGAGTTCTCTCTCCCCATCGCACCAAATTACTTTGCCAAGTACTTCATTAATTATTTGGGTTCCAGGGAACAGCGAAATTACAGGTAACTGTATGGCCGATAAGCTAACAATAAGGAATGATGAGGTCTCCACTGCCTAAATGTCTTCTGGTTGGTTGGTAAAAGCGTCGCCTTCGAGTATATTCCCAGGACCCAATTAGTGCTGAAGGCACCATTTTCATACGCTTTCTCTGGGACCTTTGATTTTATCTGCTTTCATGCTTCGTTGGGTTCGTCAAACCTTTGGATTTTCCGATGAATCGCTTTAGGTTAGTAATGGTGAATTTGGAAATCTTCCCAAGATTTTGGATGGAAAAACTCACGAGTGTGTTCTGCCTTATTCGTGCCAATGCCGGACACTCGCAAAAATAGTGTAGGGACGTTCCTTTACTTCCCTCAGGATTAAAGCTACGGCATCGGGGGTTGTACGAAGTCCCATTTTAGCTGCATGTTCCCGTTATCGTGGACAACGTATAGTCTCTGCAACGGATTTATCAAAAGATGCTTCAGCCTTAGCTAACTCATCAGCCCTCTCATTTCCGTGTATGTTACTATGGCCGGGAATCCAGATGAAAGTGGTGTCTAACTCGGCTGCCGTGGTTAACCCACATTTGCAATCTCTGACTGTTTTGGATTTTGTTTGCGATGAGGCAAGTGCCAGAAGTGCCGCTTGGCCATTTGAAAAAATTTTTGCTTTTCGTACTCCTACTCTCTATTGTTTTACAGGCCCTTTAGATGCCCAGTACTTCCGCTTGATGCTAGCAAAGTTTGGTTAGGGTCGATACGAGAGAGAGACATTCATTCGACTATCCTGCCCCTACTCCAAGGAGGTATATAATCTGATTGATTCCTTGATTCGATAAGCTTGTCAGGAATACTTCTAAGCAGATGGATTTTTATTCAGCTCAGCGAACGCTGGGCAAAAGCATTGGAATAAAAAGTGTCTTACTCGTTTTGTTCACAGGCTAACCGACAGAGGTCAAGGGATCTTTTAAAACTGAAACAGTCGCACCTCATTGCTGGCGGGAGTTGAAAACGGGCATCGTCCGATCGCAACTAAAACAATTTCTTTCTGTCATTTTAAATGATATACAAAAATTTATAGCAATTTGCAATTTTAGCAAATAAAATGAACAGCATTTCATATCACCGCCAAACAAACACCCCTTGGCTGCCTCAAGTTGTCATGCGATCGGCGGTATTCGTAGGCCAGAAATTTATTGCAAATGACCGCCGACAATAAAAATGAAAAATTCGCCACCGTCTGCCACTTTGACCAGCCAAGCATATCATCGTGTTGGGTAGGGAAGCTAGTGAAGAAAGGAGTTGTACATATGGGAGACGTCTGTGGAATGTGCTTGGGCACCTGTTTTTAAACTTCAAAAACAATATATCGAAGTCGAATGAAAGGCGCAAAGCGCTTTCGCGTCACGTCGTCGTGCAACAAATTGACAATGAATCAGCAAAAATACTCATACATAAATTTTTTTGCTACAAAGCTAAGTTCTTTTACATATGTATGTGTGTACGTTTATTATTATTACGAGTGTTATTGTTGTTGTTTTTTGAGAAGTCGCAAGCGCAGAATAATATTTTCGTTTGACTACATTTGTATTAAAGACAAATTGCCGGACAAGAAGGTGAAGGGGGGATCCACTTGTATGCTTTTTGTATAAAAACGAAACGTGACAAAAATTTGTTTCCACCAAAGAGATACACATCGGTGTTTCTTTATAAGTACGAAAATAAAAAAAAATAAATGAAAGATAAATAATACAATTCGGAGACAAGATGTGACCAAATAGCTACGTTGGTATGCGTGTACATAGTTAGATTCATTTCACGGTAGGCATTTATGAAATTATCTCAGCCGATACTCCACAATTAAGTTTATTTTCATTTGCAGCAACAGACACAACAAAGAGGAGAAAAGTGCAAAGAAATGCACAAAAGACTTTTTAATTGTTTGAAAAAAAGTAAACACTCACAAAAAAATATACATACGTTCAAAGAGCAGAAAAAAAAATAAAAATCCAGCACAGCTGGTGTGAACACACGCTCCGATCGCGCTCCACAGTGCATACACATACATATGCAGACGGCACAGTGGGAAGGAAGCGCACTGCACAAATCGCAGCGATCATTTTGAACGCCATCATGATGCATCGATTGTTTAATATTCAAGGAGTGGCATCCAAGCATGCCGGCGTTTGAGAGTTGTGTGCATGCAAAGAACTAATAGCCAGATTGTCGTTGAAAATTCCTGCATAGAATTATGAGTAAAGTAGGGAAAAAACACTTAAAAAAAAAAAAAGAGTACAAACAATTATGCATTGGCACTCGCGCGATCGTCACATTGAGTGCATTTAGAATCGATGATATCGATTAAAGGAGCTGATGGTACAAGCACTTATAAATACATAAAAACAGTGTAAATACATACTAGTATGCATGCACGTACATACATATGTTTGGGTATGTGTGTACAATTGCGTGGGTGTCAAATTGTGGAAACACATTCGCAAAGGTGCAGACAAATTTCCAATGCAAGTGCGAGACTGGTGAATGAAATAATTGACAAAGAAATTGAATGAAATGCCGAAGGAGTTGATACTCATATGTATGGCTGCGTGCCTTGCAACACCTTAAAAATTCTTCGATAATAAAAATAGATTGATCGTTAATAATAGCCGCGAATGGATAGATTCGTGTTTCAACGTGTGTGAGCACGCGCACTAT